GTACCTGTGGGGCAGCCAGTACTGAGGTACCTGTGGGGCAGCCAGTATTTCAGATGGTAGGACAGGGGGTGTGGAGCTGAGGATGGACAAGGTGCTAGCATGTGGCCTTGAGAGCCATCAGGGAAAGAGGTGACAGCTGATGAGATTGTCCAAGGAGAGTGCGTAGGGTGGGAAAATAAGAGGAGGAAATAATGGATCCCTAAGGATGAGCGGAGGAAAAGTTGCCTTGCCAAGGAGAACAAAACGGGGAGAGAGCATGGTGTCTCAGAAATCTCTGAGAGAGATCATCTCAGAGAGCGTGGTATCTCAGAAATCTCAGAGAGAGAGAGAGAGATCGACCATGCCAAATGTGAGAGAAGACAAGGCTTGAGTGTCCCATGGGATTTTACAAGCAGATCATTTGTGACCTGGGTGAGACCAACTCCCAAGGTGTGGTGAGAGCAAAAGCCACATCAGAGCAAGCTGCAGCCTGGGCGGGGGGGAGAAAAGTGACGAGAGCTATTTAAACAACTCTCTCAAGAGAAGTCTGTGAGGGGGTGGCCAAAGGGGAATTCGTTTTTTTTTTTTTTTTTACTGTGTAATATTGAATAGATGAAAAAATAATGTTGTGGTATTGTGTAAGCCGTGAAGCATAATGATAAACAAGGAGCACCCCCATCCACTTTAAGAGGCCACGGTCAGCTCTGCTTCGGCGTGCTCCTTGTGCCTGGTGGCGGGAGCGGTGCCAAGGGAGGGGACGGTGACTGCCAGTACCCGCCAACCACGCAAGTAGGACGCAGGGAGCAGGTCACCAGGGTGAGGCCCAAGCTTGGCTCAGTGGCGCCAGAAGTCGACAACTAGATCTGATGTGCAAACACCAGAGTAGGATCAGGATTGATAGGAATTTTTAAACTAGGTGGCCTGTCCACCCACTAGCCAGTAATTCCAGAGCCCGCCTCCATGACAGCTGGATTTGCAGGCTAGGGAAATGAGCCAGGAGCTACCCCAGACCTCCAGGAGCTCACACCCCAGACGGGAAGTGGTGGCAGAGTGGAAAAGAGTCAAAGAAAACCGAGCCTGAGCAGTGGCCGGAGCTGAGGATGTGATGTGCAGGACAGACCCCTCTCCAGCGTGCCCACTGTGTTCGGGCTCTCCCATCCCTCTCCCCTCTGCCTCTCCGGCCGAGTCAGCCTCTCCTGTATCTTTACGTCCTTCATAACCAAGGGTGACATCAGACCCAGGCTATGTAAGAAGCTGGGGGAGTCTCTGTAATGCTGAGCAAATCCCAATCCTTGTGATGCAGGGGGCCCTCAGTATCCTGGTGTGTCTAGGTCTCCATGACAACCCTGAGGGCCTTACGTTCGGATACTCAGGAAAGTCGCATGGGAGATGTCCGGTTCGCAGGGAGCATGGGGGTCTCTTGTGCCGGCAGCTAAATCATAGGGTTATAAAGAACTTTTAACGCCCAGGGGCTTAACACCTTCTCAGCCTGGAGTCCTACGTTGGGCTACAGTCTGAAGGTGAGAGATTCTGGCCGCCTTCTCCCTTCCTACGTCTCTGACCTCAGGGAAGTCACTTACTCTCAAACAGCAACTTGGTCCGTAAACTGGGATGAGCAATGCCTGGCCAGCTCATGGGCTACGAGAAGGATACAGTGAGGTTTACGTAAAAAGGCCTTGTCCACTAGGAAGGGAGGCTACAGATGTAGCTGTTCTCCCCATCACAGTGTTGAGGAGTTCCCAGGATCTTGTTTCCACGGTGGAGATGGTGGGATAAAATCCCAACCGCAGTTCCTACGAGCACACGCGCATCCTTCAGGGCAGTGTGGCGCTGCAGAACAGAAGGCGTTACTCTTCAACTGACACTGGGTTCAAATCTTGTCTACTACACTTTTGCCACGTGATCCCAGACAAACCATTTATCCCCTGCCCCAGTGATGTGGGGCTAACGATCCATGCATTGTGGGCTTGCTGTGAATATGAGATCAGCTATCAGCTATTGAAAGCCCTTTTTTGCACCCAGAGAAGGCGCTTACTAGATGCCGACGGGCGTTGCTGCCCTCCTGGCCTCCTAGCAGGGCTGCTGTTGGTCTAAATCGCCTCCTCTCCACTCTGTGCCAGCAGGTCCGGCCTCGGTTTCCCTGTGAGGAGCAACCACGGCCCAGCAAGATGTCCCGGCACCACAGCCGCTTCGAAAGAGATTACCGGGTGGGCTGGGACCGCCGCGAGTGGAGTGCCAACGGGACGCATGGGACCACCAGCATCTGCAATGCCACAGCCGGGGCCGGTGGCGGCACGGCCAGCAGCCTCAGTGCCCGGCCCGGCCTCCTGCCGCTGCCTGGGGTGCCCTCTCGGCTGCCCACACCTGCCACGGCCCCGGCTCCCTGCACTACGGGCAGTGGCGAGGCCATCACCAGCCTCGTGGCCAGCTCGGCCTCCACCGTCACCACCAAGGTAAGCCTGGTGGCCTCTCTGAGCTGGAGCTGGGCACCGGGGCCCCTGTTCCCCTGAAGGCCCGGGCTGGCTCCGCGGGCTCATAGCCTGGGCCCTGGCCACCCTGTTCCCCAGAGTACTCCCTGGAGCTGGGCCGGCCAACCTTTGAAGGGTCACATGGTTTCATTTGCTGTCAAGTCTCTCTGTCTGCGACTCCCTTGTAAGATAAGCAGGTCTGAAGCTACCTGTCGTCCTAGGCCATGTTGATTAAATGCGTGTAGGGACGGCAAACTCCAAGTTGTCCATAAAGATTCCCTAAATAGGTGACTTTAGACTGTGCAAGTCCTCCTCGGGCGCCAGTGACTTGGGTTTGCAAGAAGATAGTGACCAGCAGTAAGGCATAAATGGTCATAAATCTACTACTTATTAACTACTCTGCTGAAGAATTCTTCCCAGCCTCACCCAACTGCATGAATCAGTGCTTTTTGTCCCCCACCTGTCAGCTGGGGCTACTGAGACACACCAAGTCTGTGAGAGCTGGTCCAAGGCTGGACCTTCCTTGGGGACACAGGACTTGGGCCCCAGCAGTCCGCTTCGGGGCAATTGCTCTTTTCCGGAGGCGGCTCCAGCCTTGGGAATGACAGCAGAAACCAGGCTGTGTTCCTAACAGAGAGACTGAAATGAAAATGGTACCAAGGCTCTTGCCTCGCTTCAGGCTGAGCTGGTCCCCCTCGCGCCACTCAGAGACCCTCGGGGATGGGCCCACGCCAGGGGCAGGAAGCCCTGTTTATGACCATCCTGTTTCCTTTCCTTGGCCGAGCAGGGGCTCTGCAGGCCACCTTTGCCTCTTCCAGCCATTCAGAGCGGCCTCCAGGAGCCCTCTCCGAGCCAGCGTGTGCGTGCGCGTGCGTGCATCTGTGTGTGTGTGTGTGTGTGTGTGTGTGTGTGTCTAGTGTTTTCTTCCCTGCTTTCATAAAAGTTGTGGGAGAAGTTAAAGGCAGGGGAGGCCCGTTGAGGCCATTGTGAGGTGGCCATGGTGTGGGAAAGCCACGCTCCAGGTGTGCTGAGCCTTTGTCTCCGTAATTTTCAAAACTCCCTTTCAGCCCTGCTTCCCATTAATAACTGAGCGCTGCCGGCCCAGAGCCCAGCGGAGGCCCGAGACAATGGAACTATTGGAGGCCAGCTCGGAGCACGCTGACATCTTGCAGCAGTGCTTTATTGATTTTATTTTCCTGTTATGAAAATACCTCCCCACCTCAGTGGGGAGGGAAGGAATGTCGGACGGGGGAGAGGAGATGCAAGGTTATTTGGGCACGACGCCCCCAGCCCAGCCAATCGTATTTCTCCCCTGGGTGCCGATGCAGTGACCTCTGCCTGGTGGAGCCAGCCGGCTGCCCCACCAGCCACATCTGGCAGCTGCTCAGGAGGGCCAGCTGTTGGCCATCTGGACAATGGCAGCTTCTGGAGCTGACCACTGGGGGCTCCAGGTCAGCAGAGAGAGAAACTGGACCTGGGAGCCCACTTGATGACTTCGGCCCTCTCTGGGTGGAGGCCTTTTTAGGGATGCTGTGGGGCTGCACCTGGGGCAGGGGTTTGGCCCTCTAGGCTGGGGTGCTGGAGGGCACTTGGCAGTCAGGGCCCCTCACACAGGGCTGTCCTGCCCACACAGCTCCTGCTTTGCTCCCAAGCAGCTTGGTATTCAGCATCCCTCACTGGCGGAGCCCCAAACCACAGCACATGGGGGGAAAGGAGCCCAGCCTATGATAGAAAACAGCATGGGGAGGACTGCCCTGGGGGGCTGGGAGGGGAGAGGGGGCGAAAGTTCATGCCTGTGGGACAGTCAGCTCCTTGGCACGTGTCACCTCTGTAACCATCTCCAGCCCAGCTCCAGACCTGCAGGAGCTGGTCCGATCAAACAAAGATGCCTGCTTCCACCCTGGGTTTTTTGAGATGCTCAGGAGAACGGGGTGTGCAGGGGAGAAGGAGGAAAATAGCCAGCAGCAGCTTCTGTCCAGAACACTGTCATTGAATTTGGGCCGTGGTGCCTCTCTGTCATCTGGCCCAAGCGGCGGCCCCCGCCAGACGCCTGTCCCCCAGCCTATTAGTCTAACCCCATGCCCGCACCACCTCAATTGACAGGCAGGCCCCAACCGAGGTATCTGTGATTTCCCTGGTCAACAAGCTACGTCTTTACCAAGCGGCCAAGGCCTAGCTCTGGCCCTCGGAAAACACACAGGTCTGTGACCTGGACGGTGTGACCAAATGACCTGAGACTGTCTCTGCCGTTGAGGTTATTGGCAGAGGCAGGTTAGTGTTGTGGATGAAGACAGACTGGGGGGCCAGCCTGCCTGGGTTTGGCTTCTGCCCTATCTCTTACTAGCTGAGCAGCCCTGGACAAGTTAACCTAACCTCTCTGGGCCTCGCTTCTGCAAAATGGGAATAGGTAGTAGCACCTGCCTCCCAGAGTTGTTGTGAGCATTGTGTGAGTTCAAACATATATGCAGTGCTCAGAACAGAGCCAAGCCTGGCACATGGTAGTTGTCACCCCTGCCATGTTGTCACTGTCACCCAGGAGAAGCCTAGGGGACAGGGCATGCCCCTTCGGAGAAGGATCATTTCTAACCTCACCAAGAGAAAAAGGTAAGTCTTTCGATGAGAAACAGGAGCTAGGCCCCAAGCACGTGGGGAAAGCAAATTGTGTTTCTGAGTGGTTAGAGCTCACGTCTGTGACACGGAAGCATGACATGACCAAGGTGACATCATGGCAGCAAGGGGAGCTAGAGGGAGGGCGTCCAGTGATGACCAAGAGTCCGCATCACCTAGTGAGCCTGATGATGGAGTGAGGGGATTTTAAAGCTTTTTTAGCCACCAGACCCCTTCCTTCCAGGGAAGTGCAGTGTGTATACAGGGCCAAGACCCCACTCTGGTGGGAGGGGGCTGAGGGAGGGGCCTGCATGGGAGCCAGGAACAGAGCCATGTGTCCCTGCTACCCTGGAGTGTGCCAGTGGGGGCTTGAACACCGGCCTGCCTTCCTCAGTGAAGGGTCTGGTGCCACATGTGGGCCAGTCATGCCTGAGAACTCGGGCAAAGGTCCCCAAGGTGACTCTCAGGGACAAGTGTTAGTGCTGTCAGGCCTTAGCGACCCCCTGGGCTGGGCATGGAGTGGGGTGTCACAGCTCTCTGGGGGCTGGGGGTGACCACTGGCATCCTATGCCATCACCACCCATGCAGAGACAGCCTGCCCCTCTCCTGCCCCGACTCCCATGAGCCTGGCCACCAGCTCACCCTCAGTACGGGGGCTGCTTCTGCCATGCTGTGGGGGACGGTCCCAGCGCCCCAGGGTAGGGAAGGCTTGACCAGGCTCCCTGTGGCTGGTGAGCGAGGTGATGACAATTCTTTCTGTCGCTGCTGCCTTAGGCCTCTGTTGATTTTTATGTTTCTTCATTTTCCTGTGGCCTGAGGATTTCTTGCTGGTCTTTGATGAAAGTCCAGTTGGACAAGCACAGATTCCTGGGCCACTGAGGCAGGGGGAGTGTGTGACCAAATGCAACACATACACACACACACACACACACTCACACACACGCACCCATGCATTCATTCATACATACGCACACGCGCACCCACACACTCACTCATACACACTCACACACACTCACACACACACACAAGTCCCCAGAGCCTGAGAGAAGCAGAGGGACCGTGCCCTCCGGCCGCTCTGTTTTGCCGGTTAGAATCTGAGGCCCAGAGGAAAGGAGGCTTGCCGAGGGCCCCTGACAAGTGAGAAGCAGACCGCCTGGGCTGGCTCCTTTGCTTGCTGCAGGCTGCCTGGCACAGTGCGCTCTCCATGGTAACCGTCAGTGCAGCATTGTGACCGTAACTTCTCCAGCCCTTCAACCACCTACCTGACAGCAAAGCCCAGTCTGCAAGAAAATGGGCAGATTTACCCCTTGGGTGAGGTGGGGAAATGTAGCCCAAAGGTTCTGCCAACTCTACACTGCAGAGCTAGTGAGAGCTTCAGGCTGTCACATCAGACAGAACCAGGTTTGAATCCCACCTCTGCCTCTTAGGAGCTGACTATGTCTCTGAGTCTCATTGTCTCTAAAATGGGAGTAAGAATAGCATCTTCCTCGTGAAGACGTTGTGGGGATTGGTTAAATTCGGATGTGTGGGAAAGCTTAGAACAGCACCTGCTACCCATAAAGCACTAAATAAAAGTTAATTTTAAAAGCTGCCTCAGAGATCGGGTCGAACCAAGTGTCCAGACCCGCGGGGTGAAACCGGCCCCCTGGAGGTTGGCGCTGGTGGGGGCCCTCCCCTGACTGGAGAGGCATGAGGACGCCGAGAGCGGGGACAGCCCTGTGCCTGGCCCACCATGGCCACTCTGGGCTGCAGGCCGTCAGGCCCCCGGGAGGAGGGTGGCCCCGAGAAGCAGAAACGAAGCCTCAAGGCCGGGCCTGTTTGCCGGGTGGAGGGGAAACCCTGCCGCCCCGCAGTTGCCGCTGCATGAAATTTAAATTATTCTTGGCAAACCTGCCTGACAGATGAAACAGAAAAGGGACGGCTTCATAAAATGCAATTTTGTTCTTGAAAGAATGGACTTTGCAGAATCCTGGCTGATGTCTGTGAAATGTGTTGGGGGCTTTTTTCCTTGTGGTCAGGAGCACTCATGCCGAAACATTCCCATCGTTCCTTGGAACTAAGCCCTTGAAAAATAATCTGGGCTGGGAAGAGAGAGACTTAGCTGGTGTCAGGGGCCCGAGGAAAACCAAAAGGGGCCGTGAAACCTGTAGGCTCCGTCCTCAGAGCACCAAACACCCTGATTTTTTTTTTACATTTATGAGCATTTGGGGCTTTCAGGGTGGATATTTGTCATTAGAGAGATGGCACCAGCCACAGCGTCTTTCCCCATACACTCTAGGTTCTCTGGAGAGGTGCCCCTCCTAGGGGGAGATGAGCTGGGATTTCCGTGGGGAATTGTGTGAATGACCTCGAGGCCCCGCCCGGCCGGCCCCTCCCCA